TCTCATTCGTGGCAACATGTATTGAGTTTCTGTAATGAAATAAGTAACGATTCATTAATGTTTCAAATGATACATTACAATTTGCTTTATCTTTAAGTGCCTCCTTGCCGCTTATGTTCTTGTATACCTTGTTGACTGCTCTGTGGTTGCTCGCGATTGCTGACTCCTTGTTTAGCGCCACTTCGAGTAACTCCTTCAGGGACTTTTGTGAATCCTCCTCACAAAGTCTATCCTGCACAGGCCCTGGCCTCAGACCTGTCACCAGTTTATATTTGACAATGGCTTCCATGCTGCTGGCTGGAAAATTGCAATCTGTCGATGCCTCACGAATTCGAGAATAGAATTTCGCCACACTCTCGCCGTCATCTTGTCGAAGCCTATCGAACTCAATCACCTTTCTGTAGTGAGAGATGCGAGGTTTAAAGCGAAGTTTGAGTGCATCTTCGATTTGCTTGTAGGTTTTGGTAGATGGTAAATCTGGGTGCAGAACGTTCTTCAATGTTTTGTAGACTTCTTCATGCAAACTTACAAGTAAAGATGCCACTTTTCTTTCTTCAGGGATAGCATTTGCTTCGAAATATTGCTCCATGCGTTCCAAGAAACATGCTATGTCCTCACCCTCCTCGTAGGGTTTCAAGTTGTGGCCTATGCCGCCTTGGCCGCCGATAAATGTTTTGCTCGTCGCCATATTTGTGATGTCTCCGCCTTGGAGACGTAAATAAAAGTTGTTTCTATTTGAAGATACTGTCTTTTATTTTCGATTAAACACAGAGCTTACAAGATTGCCTATCGCCATTTTGTCTGGCGTATCAAGAAGAAAGAATCTCGGATACACATCCTGAATAATGCTTTTAAACTAGCTACGTTTGGATACGCGCTTATAATAACAAATTAAATACCGATATAAAATAACGATACATAACAAAACTCATTGATATTAGAAATAGGTTCGTTCTAATTCTATCTTTAATATTACCTGTCGGGATGCCAAGTCCTGGATAGCAATTGATAAAAATATAAGATTAGGTAAGTACTTAGGTATAATGGCAATAGACGCAAAAAGAAGAAGCAAGAAATAATTCTTGCTGTTTATAAAGCTAAACATCTAGAGACAGTAAGTGATAGTGAAAAGGCAATGTTTACTTAATGCTTTCCTTACTGTGTCATTTTTAAACAATAAAATGTTTTATTCATTTGTCTAAATCGGTAAGTTTGTTGACCTGATCAAATGTAGCAAGCAATGCGCTCACATATCCGACTTTTACTGTTATTGCTAACACTTTTTTTCAGGCGCTCCGGCAGTGAAAGACAAACTAACTACTGTTCGTTCATTGAGAAATCCAGCAATTTGTTCTTCTGTATTGTAATTAAACAATTGATTTTAAATTGGATACGTCTAATAAACATATCGCCAGATTCATAATTCACGGTTTTCCAAAAACAATGACCTAGAATTTCTGTCTTTCGGGTGATCATCACCAAATGAAAAATACCCAAAACAATATAAATTATTGCCCAGATAAAGCCCAAGTAGCCATCCATGCGAACTCAGTGGGCATTATTTTCTCGTTCCCGCTAATATTCTGTTAACGCAAAGAAATATTGTACAATGAGTTATAATTCTGTGAGACATATAAATCACGCTTGGGCGGTAATGTCTAACGTGGACGCGTTGTTTTATTCAGGATATTTCGGGAATATTCGTTTTATTTTATGTTTTACCACTTCCAGAGTTTTAACATCGACCCTTACTTAAATTTGAACAGTCGAAACCACATCATTGCAATGATCACACATTGCGAAATAGGTAGGTAACCAAGACAATTTTGGTAGCTAAATATGGGTAAATAAATCTACATGACCCAATCGGAATAGAATCCGGGACCGTCTCTACTGGATCTCATACCGCTTACAAACTTCAAGGAAGTAAAGTAAGTAGGTAAAATAAGTAACCAGCATTGTTCATTTGTTTATTAACTTATTAGAATAACTTTTAGTTATTTAAGGAAGGATAATATGTTTTTTTTAGTTATCGCAGTAGGTCAATAAATATTATAAAGTATTAAGTCGCATCCGCACTAAACTAACACGTGACGCATAATACGTTTCCGTGGCGGCACATTGCGTCTGGAGATATACAGGGTGGAAACGACAATAAATTAAAACTAATATCAACATGAAATCATCAAAACCTTCAAGGCGAGAATGAATAGGCATTTACAGGGCATCTCACTGCGATTGCATTCAAATACCCGATTTGTGCTGCATAAAATAAAAAAAAACTTCGGGACTTAGATGATTTTCATTATGCATTGATGAGCTGGATTTCTAAAATTAATTTTGCCGAAGTTTAGCAACTTCTTGACGTTTATTATTTAGTACCACCGGAGCGAAAACTGAAGTGATCGGTGAAAAGTTACATTAAATTGTTAAATTTTAAAGAATTTTAAAAATGTGCTTTTTATACTTTTGAAACTAAAAAGCTTTAAAAAGCTACTGGATTTACCTTATTTTGTTATTCTCTACATGACATTACATGTATTATTGCTTTATGTGATCACCCTGTATGTAAAGGTGTTTTCATATAAATCTGTCGTTTGTTTCCCTGAGAATATACGTGTATTTTTAACTCTCATTTTTCGACACAACTTGTATTTTTTCCTAAGCAGCTATTTTGGGTAGGAATTGCGCAATTTACTTTTATTTTATACGTATTCCTGAGAAAATGCTCAAAACTATAGATTTTATCTTCTTATCATTTCGACAACAAACCTACACAGTGTCAGCCCAAACCTCTGCTACAAGAGTGGCGTTGTCGAGCCTCCTCCACTATAGTGGAGAGTTTTGCCATAAACCCCACGCTTGGCAGGCGGGTCGGAGATCGCAGTTTAAAAGATTGATGTTTTTCAGAGAGCGCTGCTGCCCGTTCTCTGTTTGATGTGTAGTCCCTACTCTTTCACACATCACAATTAATTTAATTAATTAACATTAACAATTAGCTTAGTTGTTGAATGAAATAGATTCGACCGTTTGCAGTCGTGCGGTCGACGAGCTCGTTAAATGGCCGCTGGTCCAGACTCCAGGGAGACCACGGAAACTGGCGATTTGGTGAATTTTAGTATACAACCAAGCCTGTTCCAGCAGTTGAAAAAGTAAAAATCATAAGAAGTATGGTGGATATAAAAAATAAGAGGAACCTAAGTACTCGTTAGTTACCTACCTACCTAGAAAAAAAATATTTACCTACTATTTTGAGTTGCGGACATCAAGCAAGTTATCAAATCAAACACTGTATGATGAGTGTAACGAATCATCAAATATTTGAAGGAAAATAAAAAGTTTAAAAATTATACCCCATGAAGGGTTCTAAAAGGCTCTTAAGAACCTAAGTAAGTATGTTGCCTTGAAGGGCTTTACCTACTTACAAGACTATTAAGTTAGGTAGGTACATTTAACATGTTATTATCTAGTTACATAAATAAGTAGTAGTGTGTGCCCACTGAGCGTCAAATGAACAATGCTCCCGAGATTTGATTTATTCTCCCAAGTCCATTGTTGCCCCGGTCGCCATAATTTTACGAGCTCGCACAAATTTGACTTATGCCCCGGATCCGCGGAAGAGTTTATGGCCCCCCGTTGAGAAATTGCTTTATTTGCTTATTTGGGTAATGTGTAATATTGATTGTTAGTCGGTCGCGGGTTTGGCGCTTGGATTGTGGATTTGAGCCAAAATCGGAGAAGTAACCTGGTGATTATTGGTAGATGTTTTAGAGCTGAAAATTACAGTTAGGACTTGTTCTCAGACTGTCGTGTTTGTTTGTGTTGTTGATTCGGGCTTTATTGAATTCCGTATTAAGAAGGAGAATGAAATAGCAGACCTAATGGTATGGTAAACAATGCTTTAATATCGAGGTAAGGAAAAGAAAGAAACTTGCTCAGGAAACCGCTGTGAGCCGAAAAAAAAACTACGAACTATCGCCCCCACTTTGTAACAATCCGCTTTTATGAACGCCAGTGACACTTAAATAGCAATTTAGCAAACATGATTTCATACTAGTTGTATTTCCATCAGGCGCTTGTGATTTTTTTTAGGGTTTTCAAGGCAAGCATTACATTCGTACACGTACTATGTACCTAGTATGTCACATTAACAAACATAGTGCTTGTAAACACGGTGATCGGGGACCGGTAATGGACCCATATCGGGCACAGGAAACGTTCGCATGTTGACGGCCGGATCCGATCGTTCGCAGTTCGATTCCCGGACTTTACAACCGGGAGGTATAGTTCGTTCCCTGTGGATACGCAATTAATAAGAGATATATCCTTCTGCGACAAACCAAACAAGAAGAAAATTCCTTATATTTCTTGAAAGAATCTGAGTAAGTATGAGCCAGTTAAAATTGTTAGCTGTTGAAAAACATTTATCACCATCTATTATTATTCTTCACTGCATTGACACGACTCTCTCCAATTTACCAGACACAAATGTAGGATTGGGCCTAACTCTCCACGTTCCAAAAAAAAAATCGTTTAAAAAGTAACGATTGTTCGCGATCACATATCCCAAAACATTTACAAGGTGCTTCCAAAGTAACTAAAGTATGTATTTGAACTTGAAAAATCATAAAGGGCCCAAGACGATGCCCCGAATAAGTTCGCACTTCACTCATTACAAGTTGTACGAAACGTTTTTGTGTCGAATTTCGTTATTATCAAACTTTTCGAATCATTTCGATGTTTTGCGTGTAGGTACCAAACGATCCGATATGTTACCTATCTTTTGAGAGGATATTTTAGTCGTATTCAATTATACAGTCAATCAATAGCATATCAAAGTATGTGAGTATAAGTTTTTTTTGTTCAAATATCGCATTATAACATTATCTGTATGGTTTACATAATCCCAACTTATGTATAAATTATTATTATGTATAACTTATGTATTAGAAGGTGAAATAAAATGCTGAAATTTTTTATATAAACTTTATTACAATTGTAACACCTTACTGTAACACCTGCGTCACCACTTTAGCATCTGACTTGCTGTCTTATCCCACCCTATCCAATGAGTCCCGTCTTCAGCCACAAATGGGTTGTCGGGGTCGGAGTGATTCACCTCCTATTGGGTGTGCTCTTGCTCTGCCAAGTAATTGTATGCTCTTCAAAAGTGGGTATACATGGTGGTGCCAACTTTATGTTTTATAATTTAAAGGCATCTTTTACGGATACTCAACATAGCGAATATTGTCTGGGCACACCTCCAATCTTAATTCTTCCGACACATCCTTGTTCATGCCATTGATCCAATGGCGCTCAATAAGGAGTCCTAAAACAAAGAAAGACAATTGTTTAAAAATTTAAGACAGGGTGTTTAAAAAAACCATTATAAGGGTATTTATTAAACGTCTAAAAAGAGTCCCTTGTTAATTTCTTACAATCATAGGATCATATTTTAATTTTGAGTAAATTAATGTATGATAAAAATATCGATTATAAAAATTCCCATCACTAATTTGAGTTCATTGTCTTACCAGGAGTGACCAGGAGCAACTTTCTATGTTCACGACCCAAGCCACACCTCATTTTTTTACTACCTATCTCTTTCTAATACTTCAAGTAGCCACTATACGAATAAAGCATTCTGTGCGCCTAGTAAATAATACCTACTGAGAAAAAAATACACACACATTGTTAACAAAACAACAAACACTTAAAGATATGGTTAGGTACATACCTACAAAAGTGGCTCAAAATTACGTCCTCCGTGCTGCATGTATATTCTTACCCGTCTTGATATGGCCTGTGTTGCATTTAGCATCATAGTAGGCGTTATTGACACCTGTTCCATTTCCTCCACGCTATGACAATCCGTTAAATAAACTCTGTCTTTTACAAAACCCCCAAAAAAAAGTAAAATGGGGTAATTTCAGGGGAACGGGCAGGCCAAGGTATCGGTCCCAAGCGTCCGTTCCAGCCTCCTGAAATCTTATGTCAAAATGCGCTCGTACACTGCGAGCTAAATGTACGGGAGCGCCGTTGTGCTGGAATACCATGTCTCGCTGCTGTTCGAAGTACTCAGTTTCGATGACTGGAATGTCGTCTAACTAAAGAAAGATAACGAAGTTGGTTAAAGTTAGTTTTTGATTTAAAATGCTATTGATCAGGTGGAGAGTATTAATGTGTATTGAATTGATTAATTATTACCTTTTGACCTTAGAATTAAAGCCTTTGATCAACCACACTGCTGCGATTGTTACTTTGACAAGCAGCCGTATTATGTGAGTAAAGCGATTATGAAATCACCATTAAAGAATTCTACCAAAACTGTTGTGCTAGGAAGGCATTAACAATGAAAATAATGAGGAAACGTAGGTAAACAAAGAAACCACAAAAAATCCTCGCCATCCATTCACAAGTGACACTTGACATTGACATTGGAAATGAGAGTTACCTTATCAAACATTTTAAAAAGTACCACTTTGATGTCAGTCAGTATATTTTGCAATAAATTAAATCTGAAAGGCGAGATTGTTTAAATCTATGAAAAAAATGATAAAATCCTTTCTCCTTCAAAAAACTAAACTTGTGCTCAGAATAATAAAAAAAATATGTAAATTACACTTCACAGTTCAATGCTGTTTAACTGAACCATATTTTAAAAAAACAGCAAATCTAATCTTCAAAACACGTCATGTAACAGCGAAACCAACTCATACATTTATTGAGCCAAAAATATACTACTAAAAAAACTCAAAATAAACAAATTAGTATAAAATTGACAAGTGTGGTAACACAAACAATTGGCTGTGTTGCTACCTTAATGAGACAATGTTGCCACTACATTAATTTTAAAAATATCAACCAGAAATAAAAAGTTAATAATATCAATTTATGTGATCGGAGCTATTCAACTTAATCAAATAATTTTGTGGAAATGTAAATATTGTTACAAAATCACTTTTATTCAAAACCTAGAGTGAAAGCTTTTGTAAAGTCCAAATGGGCACATACCGCCCTCTACTGAGAATAACCTCAAACTTCGCGTTGGCGGAAGATGGCCGTCGCGTGCCGAGTGTTGCTCTGATTGTTTACGGCGATTTTTTAAGTTTTTACTGTGAATATCGAATCAATTAACCGATAAACAACTAAAAAAGTGGTTCATAACAGTACCATAGTGATTATAAGTGAGTTTTTGTGGTGTTTAGTGGAAATTTTCACTCAAAAAGTGCGGCAACGATAGTGTGAGCAAAGCTACTAGTTTTCAAGTGAGTGTTTTTTAGGAATGTTGTGAATCCAAGTGGATTGTGTCTTGCTGCCGGAGTTTTGAACTTGGATCAGCCGTTTTCATCACAAAAGGTAGGTGTTTATACAAGTAGTAAACTTTTGGAAACTTCAAGTTTGTTTACTTCCTACCGCGCATGATCAGTAAAGTTTCGGTGCAAATTCATTCATCGCGCTTTGGATTTCAACAAACTTTTTTTCTCCGATTGAGATCTTATAAGATTTATTTAGCTACGTTTTACGTATGTAAATGTATTTAGTTACTTTTAACGAAAGGATTATATAAATCATAAAGTAGATAGGTACTTACCTAAACCTACCTCGTTTTGACTGGTTGGTATGTGAATCAAACCTGTTATTGTTCGACAAAAAACTTTTTAGTCTAGTAACTATTCATAAGTAGCTATTTATGAAGAGCTTATAACTCTCAAATACTAGTTACAGTAAGCAGATACCTACGGATCTACTCACCTATGTCTGGATATCATTTTGTTTTTTTTCTCTTGGTCGTTGAACCGCGGCCGGTCGTGATTCAAATACAGCCTCCGTGCTTGCCCGAGTTGCTCAAGGAATAATTTCTATTCTGCTCCACTCCACACATTCTATTGTGTTATAATTAGTGATACAAGAATATTTTAAGTTGCGTAACACCGTTTGACTTTCATTTTATTTTGGATTGACTGGTTGGGTGTGTGGATAGAAAACAAATCAGTAAAAAAGTCTTATTCTTCTGCACAATCCAATAAGAATCTTATAGGATGACTTTAGTTTGTGATCTTTGGTAAAATATGTACTCCCGTGACCTTCATAACAGCTGATTTAATTTTCCCGCGTAATTAAACGCTATGGCAATCAAGGACGAGATTAAAACATGACGATCGGTAATGGAAAATCAAATGTCGATTTATTGGAGACATCGGTTCTTCTTTAATGTGCTAATAAATAATATTTTACCTACTATCCTTCGTCCGCGATAGAGACAGTCTTTAAAGGTAATGGCTACGCTAATTTCATACATACAAGTAATTCTAACTTAAACTAGTACACACATCGTTGTTCTACGACAATGACTCATTTTCTTACTATTGTCCGTTAGTAAAGTTGGGTTCACAGCGATGGGCATTTGTTTTATTTGTTTTGTCGCGCGCGAGTTGACTCACAACCACAACACACAACTTCTAGCTTGATAACAAAGTTTATTGAATAAACTTTACTTTGAGGTGTGAACGAAAGTTTTTATCATGGGGTTTACGTCTCTTTGCCCAGTGCAGATAAGAGGGCCATGTATTTTGTACGTTAGCTATGTAATCGTAACGAGAACATTAAACGTCGTCTTAACGTTGTGGAATTCTAAGGGAAGAATGATAAGATGCACTTATGTATTAACATGTAGAGAGGTCTACAATTTCATGGGGACCTTGGTCCTGTAAGACAGCAATTAACGATCTAGGTACAATTAAATAAACTCGCGGGCAAGTTTTTCAGGTTTTCAATAAAGAATCTGACTGGACTTAATTTATAGCTTGGCTTCGTAGGTAATACCTAACGTAGGAGTTAGGGACAGATGCGACGATTTCTAATAAGATTAACTTCGTTGGAGTTAATAAAGGTTGTGTTTTATGTCCTCCCCCTGGCTTGCTTTCTAATGTTTTCTGTCTTACCTTGGAATAACATTTTTTATCATGCAATTTCATTTCATCAAGACAGTAATAGTCTTCTGTGCCTTTTACATAAAATCCATACACACCATTAACTAAATTCGATTAATATAGTAAATATTAGAAAAAACAATGTTAACAGCATTGTTGTGTTCCGGCAGTTAGAGGTAAGATAGCCAGTTCTCCGTGGTTGAGGATTCCGGGTGAAGCTCGCTTCCACCTTCGGCCTGATCATCACTTACCATCCGGTGAGATACAGGCCAAGAGCTTCCTCGTTGTGGATAAAAAAATCGTAATCTATCGATACATTCCAACCATTCCCAAGATTGGAAATTGGAATGAAACGTGTCATTGGTAGAAAACTTTAAAAGTACTAGTTTCGCTTTTGAGATTAGGCCTCAAAAAGCAACTTCAGCCATCCCAATACAAGTTTAGTTTCATTAGATTTGCACGTACTTACAAACTTAAAATACAATCGATGCATCAGCAATTATAAAATCGGTCAACGACATCTATTTATACGCGACTGTAACCCACTTCGAACATGTCATTAACATGTTTGATATTACGCAGGTGCGATCGTAAACAAGTCAGTAGGCCTAAGATGCGCGCCCCGATAAGCGGTTGTCACGCCATTTTATCGATTTTGCCCATACATTTTGATGTCGATAAATTTTACCACGGCGCGCATCTTAGGCCTACTGGATATAGCTAGTTGCCAATTGCAAAACGACTACGACGCCTTCATTGTGCATTGACTGAATGTTGACTTGTTTTGTTGTCAGTTGTAACCCTGTGTTGCACCATCTTACATTAACTAATAACAATCGTCAAAGTCTTGAATTATATCACCTTAACTTTAACCGTAACTATAAGTAATAAAAAGATCGCTTATAGTAATAATACGAGTATTATAGTATAGATTTTGACAGACTTCTGACGTTTATTAATTAACTAGCGGCCGCCCGCGACTTCGTACGCGTGGATCCCGTTTTACATCTGATTCCGTCATAAGTCATAACATCGACCTGCATGCCAAATTTCAGCCCGATCCAGTGGTTTGGGCTGTGCGTTGATATACTATATTAGTCAGTCAGTCAGTCACCTTTGAGTTAATATAAATTTAGATGTTAGATGGCACAACTCAGGGTTATTAAGACTTGTCCGTATTACAAAACAACATTCAAAATTAGATTTAATCCAGTCATAGATGTTATGTTTATTCAGCCAATCAAAAGCCTAAAATTACGCTTGAAATTGAATCGAGTTTAAGCTTCTTATGACGTCCTAAAGTGAGGGCGTGCATCTCAGCATCGGTAACTTGGAAATCATGTACGAGTAAATAAAATTCGCAAGTCAAGAATGACAACGTTTTTCATTGATTACTTTATGTTAGTTTGTCGGAACAACCGTCGCGTAACTCCTGCGTTTGGCATTAACTCACAATCAACTTAATTAGTTGTTAATAAGTGCTAATTAATATCTATTTAGCATAGCCTATCTAATTGTAAATAGAAGTATTTGATTGTAGGTATCGTAAAATCGTAATGGTAACTTTTAAGTTTCAAAATAATTCGATAGGTCATTGTTTGGCTGTTTGGTCACGATCACGATAAGAAAAGCACAATAAATAAGATATTCATCGATTAACATGTCGTTTCTTTTTATACTTGATAGGTGAATATTTTCGTTTCATTTCCTTTGTTTTGCTTTGCGAATGTTATTCAAATCATTTTCAATATTCAAAATCATTATTGAATCATTCCACACATGTTTGCGTTGTATGTAGCCTTTGTTCAAACTATTGTCCGTTTATGAGGCAGACATTTGCAATGTTAACTGTAAAGTTGTTACTGGAATTTATATTATTTTTGTTTTAATTTGTGTTAAATCACTAAAATATATCTTAGTAAATATCATCTTAGTTTTAACACTGGCTATTAGTTAGAATAATAGTTAAAATCCCATAGTACCTATTATTATTGATGTTTTTTCTGTAATTTATGTTCAAAATCTTGAGCTCGATTTCTTGGCAAAATCCCAACTAATATTATAAATGCGAAAGTAACTCTGTCTGTCTGTCTGTCTGTCTGTCTGTCTGTCTGTCTGTCTGTCTGTCTGTCTGTCTGTTACGCTTTCCCGCTTAAACCTCGCAACCGATTTTGATGAAATTTGGCATAGAGATAGTTTGAGTCCCGGGAAAGAACATAGGATAGTTTTTATCCCGGTTTTTGAAACAGGGACGCGCGCGATAAAGTTTTTCTGTGACAGACAAAATTCCACGCGGGCGAAGCCGCGGGCGGAAAGCTAGTTTCGAATAATATCACATCCCTAGACTAGGACTACTAACTGTACGAGTATAAATACGCGATAAAATGGTTTTCTTTTGCTTTGCATACTTTAAACTAAAGTTATTCCTGTTGTTACTTTTATACAGTCTCATATGCTTGCG